CTACAGGGGGGCAGGGGAAGTAGAGGTGCAGCGGGGAAACGGCGCGAGCGGGGACTGAAGCAGGCAGAGGTGCAGCCGGGATAGCGAGCCCCACCCCACCCCTTATCGACCGGTCAAGTACTCGATGGAAATTCCATCGACTACTCGGATTAGTTCCCACCTCAGAAACCACAGGTCGTAGGTTCAACCCCACCCTCACCCAACCTGGACCTGGCACCTTTGGGATAACGGGGGGCCCGGGAGGTTGGGGGGCTCCTTTAGTGGCAAAAGCCCTCAGCAAAGCCTCCTTCAAAGCGGGCTCTGCCTTCTAAAGCTTATTTATGCTGTGTGCTGCAGAGCCTGCTGGGACTTTCAGCGGTTACACGGTTATGTTTTTAACCGTGTTTTGACATCCCCACACAAGGGCTAACTCTGCCCGCACTGTCCCTTATTGTCGGCACACGCCAGGCCAGGGGCCGCTCTGGCAAAAGCCCTCAGCAAAGCCTCCTTCAAAGCGGGCTCTGCCTTCTAAAGCTTATTTATGCTGTGTGCTGCAGAGCCTGCTGGGACTTTCAGCGGTTACACGGTTATGTTTTTAACCGTGTTTTGACATCCCCACACAAGGGCTAACTCTGCCCGCACTGTCCCTTATTGTCGGCACACGCCAGGCCAGGGGCCGCTCTAGCAGTCACTGCCCCGAGACAGCCGTGCCGCGCGCCAGCGGGCTCCTCACCGGGCAGTGCTCCGTGGAGACGAAGGGCTGGCAGGACGCCAGCAGGAAGCCCATCCAGAAGTCAGCCTGCTCCTGCTTGGGCGCCGTGCTCTCCAGGCAGGTCTTGAAGTGTTTGTACAAGAGGAAGGTCTCCATGACAGAGGCCAAGTACCTGCAGCGAGAGTCGGGGCGGAGAGAGAGATGGAAGCACACCTGTCCCCCCGCCTGTCCGGTGCTGTGGGGGAAGGTTGCCGAAGTCTGGAGGGTCTCTGGGGCAAAACGTGGGGTCTCTTTTGGAGTCCCTTTAGGCCTGGAAGTAACATGCTGGGCTGCTCATTACACAGGGGAACCATCCAGAGTTCTCTCTAATCTTTTCCATCCACGTGCGGAATAAAGTTTTTGCTGTTCAGTGAGGCATGTGCACCACACACAGAAACACAACACCTCTCAGCTGGGGGGGGGGACTCTGGGCTGCACAAATGCCCAGCTTACAGGGAACACTGCAACCATCACACCTCCCGGCACACCGATCGCAGGGTGCAGGAGGGCACCGGCCTGTGCTACTGTCTCCCACGCCCGACCATGGAAATGGCGTCTGGGTGCTGACGAGCCTCCAGCAGAGCCCCACCGTGGCCCACATGCCCAAGATGGACAAGTTCTCTCGCGGTTCCCTGGGAAAGATCCATAGGGCGGCTCAGCTTGCTCAGGCAACGGCCCACCCGAATCCTCCCATGCAGGGGCCCCCATGGGAGATCTCTGCCCCATAAGCTGCCCAGGCTGAACCCCGCCCGAGAGTCCATCAAACACTGATCCACCCCGCTCCTGGAGCACTGCCCTTCGCCCCAGGGCTGGGTACTGCAGCTGAGCGGGCGGAGATATTTCTGCCCCCTACCAGATGGGGGCATCGAGCTTGTAGAGCTTCTCCGAGGCCCGGATGACCTTGCTGGGGTCGTTGGCCAGGATCCAGGCGCCCAGGTAGAAGCCCACGTCCCAGTAGTGCTGCATCTTCTCCACGCTGCCCTTCTGGCCCAACAAGCAGCTCAGCTTCACACCTGGGGAGGGCGGGGGGAAGAGATGGTTCCTCTCCACCTCGGAAGGCAAGGCAGGCCCACCCCATCCACCTTCCCCATCCTGCTGACCAACTGCCCAGCCCCAGCCCAAACCCCTGTGGCACAGTGCCCCTCCCACTGCCCCACCCCCAGGCACACCTGGCTCTCCACCCACACAAAGAACTGGCCCCCTCTCTAGCAAACAAAACTTCCCCTCCCTAGCCACTTGAGGACTCCGAGCAGCGGAGAGAAGCCGGGACAGACAGGGCCCCATCCCCCAAGATTCCAAAGGTTCCCCCCCAGTTCCTCATCTCCTGGCCACACTGTGCAGGAGAGACAAGCCCACAAACCCCACGTCCCCTCCAGCCCTTGCTGGGGCCATCGCCGGGAGCCCAGGGAGAGCCTGCGACAATCACAGGAGGCCCCGGGGCTTTCCATGCACACCAGGGCAGGGGAAGAGCCACTCACCTATCTGCCGGAGCTGCACGGAGCTTTCAAACTGGTGCCCGGCTGCCATGAGTAGGACGGCAGCGTTAATCCCAGAGTGGAGGCATGTACCTGGGGAGTTCAAACACGCTGAGCCGCCGGCGACGAAACACTCCCCGGGCTGGATCCCAGGCAGCACGGCTGAAATGCAGCCACCTCTGGGGTGGTGGGCAGCAAACAAGTGATATGTGGCAGGGAAAGGGCAATAATCCCAAAGCCAGGGGAGCTAGGACAATCAAGGTGCCATGGGGGAGGGTTTCTAAAATCCACTTGCCGCTAATAGGGTCACTGGAAGACTCCATATATTCCGTTTATCTGCCTCACACTGTCCCTGCCAAGAACTGAAGTGGGGGACTCGGGTGTCCAGACCTCAGTCAAGCCCAAAGACACCCACAGATCCACACTGCCCGCTGCACCCCCAAACAAGCTACGTGTCTGTGCTCAGAACCCCGCTGGCCCAAGGGCCCCGCCCCAGCCTCCCCAGCACCACCCTCCCACCCCATCCCCGCTGGAAGGTCCCCCGGCCTGGCTCTCACCAGTAATAAGCCCGGTCCCTTTTCTCCGTGTCCGTGAAGCCGGAGCTGATGAACATGTCCTTGTAGATGCGGCCGCACATGCAGTACAGGTCGGGCGCTGCCCCTTCCGGCTGCTCCACTACTGGCAGGAGCACGGAGAGGGCCTTATCCCGGTCCCCGGGCTGGTTCCGCCTGTCCAGACATTGCACGCACTCAGCCATAGCACAGTGAGGCGCATCAGAGAGAGCCGGGGCCAAGCTCTGCTCCTCTGTCGCCCAGCAGGGGTCACCGCCTTCCTGACAGGCTGAGGAGGTCCTGGGGACTGATCTCCCCTTTTACCCCCAGGCAGGGCAGGGCCGGGCTCGCTGGCCCTGACGCAGCCCAGTCGGCACCTGCCTGGTGCAGAGGATTTCGAACTCTGATCCTGTCATCCCAGCACCGCCCCCGCCAGGTGACCCGGCGCCATGGGTGCCAGCAGCGGGGCCTGCTGCTCCCCGAGGGGGGGGCTCCCCAGGGGACGCCAGGGCTTAGGGAGAGCAGGCTGCCGCCTGCATTCCCCGGGAGTTTTCCGGGGGCAGGGCGATGTGCCGGGGGGGCTCGGCAGTGGGGTGGGCAAACCGTGCCACTCAGGTCACAGCTCCTGCTGGCCACACGTCCCACGGTCCCGGTGCACCCAAGGAAACTGCTCTTGTGCCAGGGCTGGCGGTGGGGCTGGGGACGCCAGGGCTTAGGGAGAGCAGGCTGCCGCCTGCATTCCCCGGGAGTTTTCCGGGGGCAGGGCGATGTGCCGGGGGGGCTCGGCAGTGGGGTGGGCAAACCGTGCCACTCAGGTCACAGCTCCTGCTGGCCACACGTCCCACGGTCCCGGTGCACCCAAGGAAACTGCTCTTGTGCCAGGGCTGGCGGTGGGGCTTGCAGAGCTCCGGTGTCCTGTAGGACACCCTTCTTCCAACAGGGCTGCCCCCCACCTGTGACAGCAAAGCCCACTGGGCAGCCAGCCCCAGCCACTGGCCGAGGATGGGGCCTTCACCAAGCGCTACATCCGGAAACCCACCATGGAGTCCAGCTCTCCCTTGGGGAGCCCCGTGCCAGCTTGTGTCCGTGACCCCGGGTCGGTCACCTCCTCAGAGCCACATGCTGGCACCACCTCGGGCACCAAAGCAGCGCTTGGTGCGGGACGGGCCCGGCTCACCTGCACATCCCGATAGGACAGCAAGAGGTTCATGACGATGTCCAGGCTGAGGAGCTCCACGCTGTCCAGGCGCTGCTGGATGTTTGCCAGCTCCCGGCTCAGCTGCTCGCCGCTGTACATCTCCCGGGCCTTGCGGATGTCCTGGCGGATCGTCTCCCGGAAATAGCCGCTGGGAAAGAGCCACGTGCAGAGCTGAGTGCAGCCCGCTCCTGGTCGTAGGCCTGACGGGGCTGAATGATCGCCCACATGCCCCAGGGGGCACTCGGCGGTGGCAGAAGAAGCCCACTTGATGGGGGTCAGAGGATGCCGCTTAGCCGCCGGACAAGATCTCACCTATCCCAGGTGAGAGGCAGTTCCCGTGGGCCACGCAACCCTCCACCCAGAGGGGACAAGGGAGACCAAGTCACAGAAGGGCACAACCTCTCACCGAGGTTGGTACGTTCGCCACAGCCCGGCAGAAGGAGCAGAGCTGGGCTATGGAGAAGGTAGAGCAGGAAGGTCTTCACCTGGCAGTGAAGTCTCCTGGGAGGTGGAGTTGCCTCTCCATGGAAAGGGGTGAAAGTCCCATTGTCTGGTGCAGTCAATGGGCAGGCCAGAGCCCTGGAGAGCAGGTGGCAGGGACCTGGCCCACCCCCAGCAGTGCCCAGGAGGGATCACAGGGGCCTCTGCCCGGCTCCGGCTTGTCCAGTTCTGGACCCAGATCTCACAAACTAAGAAGTCACCACATACGGAGAAGTCCCCCACCTCTTTGCTGAGGGGCCAGAGAGGCCACGCTAGGGCAAGGGACAGGAACTGCATGGGAAATGTCGCCATGGGGGAGGTGAGGGGAGGGCAACCCCCTGTCACGGAGTGTGGGGGAGTCACTGGCCCCTGCACCCCCATCCGGATGTGACTCTCAGCCAACAAGCAGAACAGAAGGTTTATTGGGACACAGCGCAGCACAGACTCCTCGTTGCGTGGTCTATGGAGAGGCCCTGCTCGGCCCGGGACTCGTACTTGATGGAGCCATCGGGTCTGCGCACCACCCGGCCTTTCCGGCCAGTCATCTGCGTGGCCCGCCAGGGAAGAAGCAGGTCGTTAATGGGACGGACAGACAGACGGGGCGCACAGAGTGAAATGGAGCATTGTGGAAGCACATGGGCAGGAATTGATACTGGCCAGGCCTGGAGCAGTAAAATGCTCCCAAAAGGAATTACAGTTAGGGAAACTGAGGCACACACACACACAGGGTTACTACAGAACAGCCCAGTGAACTAGCAGGGTAGTGTAGACATACCCAGGGTTACTACAGGACAGCAGAATCACATCCAATACAAATACACAGTGAATACAGCGCCTACAAGAGTGATACAATCCCCACTACGTTACACCCCCGCTCTGCTGTGGTGAGGGCCTAAGTTCCCCCTAGGACAGGGCTGGGCAAAATACGGCCCATGGACCACCCTGCCGGGACTCAGGCACACAGCTGCTGCAGGTTTAAAGCGCAGTCCAGCTGCTCTCTGCTCTGGATCTCTTGTGATCTCCCCGCCCCCAGACCAATCCACAACTCCTATTGGCCAGAAAGAACCGG